AAACTTCCGTTGGATTAGATTAGGTCAGGTTAGGTTATAATTGAGTCTCGACCAGTTCACAGAGGCAGATGGAGGAACAGAAGTAGTAAGAGAAGCGCAGTACATTTTACCTCCTTCGAATGTTTGAGAACTAAACAGCTTACGTAAGTGTGAACTGTAACCAAGTAACTCTTTAAAAGATCATTTCGAAATTCTAATTACACGCGAGGAACAAGGAGGCAACAAAAGGCAATTAATTGAAATTGTTAGGTACGCCTCCAACGCTATTGTTGATGGAGGAGTGAAACCACGAGCTAATTAGTGATTCACTCACTATAAGTCTTTCCAGAAAGCGGTTTCGGATAATTCATTCTTCATCAATTACAGAAAACGGCTGACTTCCGGAGATATGTCACGCTCGCTGATTGGGTGATGAGGTGCACCAGAGATTTTTTTTTTACGACAAAAGACTCCTGGGTTGCTCCTACTCCTGCCCTCACAGCTCAATCTGCCACCAAACAATCAGTGTGACGACTTCATCAACCAGGCTATGACTTGACTTATAGCCTGTAAGTCAATATTTACACAAAATAAATTAATCAAGTTAACTCCCTTTAGTCTAGTCGGTAATTCCTCATTGATATTCCTCGTATACAGTGTGGCGATAACCTGGGATATTTCTCTCTTTAGGTCTGTATCCCACGATGACAGTGAGTCAGGTGGATGATGAAGCCCTTATCACATACTTCCTGCTCGACCCCTGACACCCCTCTCTCGCGCATACCTCACGCCACGTTACGAAACAACAGGGGTCAACACGCATTATTTTCCACCCCCTCCTCCTCCCCGCTAGTACAACAGGGGAATTACACGACGTAATCACAACAACAGTTATTCCGCCATTGTGTAGGGTAATGTCGGCTCTTGGGGGGTGGGGTAATTCAATAAACTTAATGGCGTAGTTTCCTATGCGTTGATATTACAGGTGCAGTTATGGGTGCATGACATTACAGATGCAGTCTTGAGTGTATAATATAAGTACAGTGCAATTTTTAGTGCATGAAGTTACAATATATTGAGTCCATGTGAAATAATTTAATTTATTATGCATGTGTTTTTTGTGTATGAAGCCAAAGGTGTAGTTGTGTGTGGATCTAAATGTACACTTTGTATATACATGAATTTACATATGTAATTATAGATGTATGACTGTATAAGATGTAGCGTTAGGATACATTAGTTTCCCATGCATTTCTAAGAGAGCATGGACCTCAGGCAGCGAGACAGAAAACGGAGACAGAAAACTTAAACTAATCAAGATGGACAGCTTAGAGATTGACGCAGCGTTGCCATACAAGGGAAGAGAACGATCCCAACGAACGCTTTTTTTTTTTTAGCTATGGAACGTTTACTTTATGGCGACACGCTTAAGGAAATGTCACTTGGTCGTAAAGTCGTTCATAAAGCCACATACAACCTTATCTCAGGGCCTTGTATTCCCGAGTAACGTAACTGATATTAACTTTCAGAAATATAATCACACCGAGTCTTGCTGAAGTGTTTTATTGTTACCACGATGAAAGACCCACTGTCAACACCATGTACTTAAAGAGTAAAAAACCCCAAAAAGTTCCCATGATCCAACCTGATCTACTTGGCTGATTGAGGGAATATATTGACCTTGTTCTAAAGTCTCCCAGAAGAAGGTCAACCACTGGTACCTCACGACTCACCACTCCTTCCCGTGATGAGGACCAACCCGTGTCCTGTACTCTGTTATTTCCTCCCCCACCCCCCCGTCCCCGTAAATGGAGTTGGGGAATTTCTCTTTTCCCTTCAGTCACGTTCTGTCATTTTATTCAACACACATCTTCTTCCCCTCCTCCACCTCCTAAACACATATATACTAACATTAGTGTAGAGTCATCGTTAAGTAGTCAGGTGGAAGGCGCGTACACATACACACCAAACATCCGGCTGTGAGTTGACTCGCTTCACAGTGACGTGAATTAGGCTAAAGGTACTGTGGGCAGTGACGCAGCAGTGACAGTGACACTCCACCACCAGTCACTAACATCTCTACAACCATCCTTCACCACCACCACCAGTCATCACCACCTATACAACCATCAACCACCATCAGTCATCACCATCTATACAACCATCAACCACTACTAGTCACAAACACTTCTACAACCACCAACCAGATTCTTCACTTATAGTTAAATCTACAACCATTTGTCCCTCGCTGTTCTACACGCCTGTTACCTTCCCATCCCACGACGGCACACGCACACACACCACCCTAACAACACGCCCCTAACGCCACGCCCCAGAAACCATGCCCTTGGTACCACGTTCCTAGCATCACGCCCCTAAAACCACGCCCTTGGCACCACGTTCCTAGCACCACGCCCATGAAACACACTACTAACACCACGCCCCTAAGCTACAAGAATGTACTTTTATATATTCCAAAACCTTAACCCTAAAAACCCTTCAGTAAAGTCCACTGAAGTTATGAAATAAGACCTGAAATATGTAGTTGTCTTTCGGGTGACTGCCATGTATTTCCCGGAGGTTTGAAATGTGGTCTTAGTGAAGGTGTGTGGGTCTGGCGGTCCTCTCCACACAAGACCAGTCCGTCGCCGTGTTTACCTTCAGGGCCTCCTCCTGTAAACAACACAACCCAAGGCTCTGATGACCTTTCTTCCTCTACCTCCTATGTGATTATGCCTCATTTTCTTTCTCCTCGCTATTTTATGTTCCCCCCTCTCTCTTTCTCCCCCTCTCATTCATCCTTTCCTCCTTCTGGCATTATCTCATTTCTTTCCATATCTCCTTATCTATAATTCGTCTCTTCCATGCAATTAACCCCATCTCCTCTCCTCTCTTCTCCTCTCCCCATTCTTCAGTGCATCAATATGTCTCTTTGTTCACAACGCCACAATTCCCTCATATACAGTATGGTGGGAATTCATCACCATTTGGACAGAATTTAGGTCTTAGTGGCAGAACAGTTTGGTTAGATTTCAATACAAAGTTTTCAAGTAAATAAGGAAGTGTCAAGGAAGGATGGACGAAGGACGGATGGACGAAGGACGGCTGGACGGAGGACGGCTGACGAAGGACGGCTGGACGAAAATGACCCCCCACAGCTATATGGTTGTCTTAGAGAACGGTACTAGATGATGACAGACAGACACACACACACACACACACACACACACACACACACACACACACACACACACACACACACACACACACACACACACACACACACACACACACACACACACACACACACACACACACACACACACACACACACACACACACACACACACACACACACGTACGTTTGATACGCACTGTTGCTTTGGTTCTTAATGAAGTAGTTTCCGGTTCACACACATAGTACAGGTAAGAGAAAGGGGGTCACTTGCCCACTGTTAAGTAACAAAAAAAAGACGGGATATTAAAACGTGTGACCTCAACCCTCCTACACACACACACACACACACACACACACACACACACACACACCACGGGGTTCATTAGTGTGTGTGTGTGTGTGTGTGTGTGTGTGTTTTCATGTACATTTCTCACTCAATCTGGGTCAAGTCACTGCCGTTATCATCACTCTCACCAACTTTTAGGAATTATATACTATACTTTCAACCTTACATGGAGAAAAAAGTATTTCTTGGGTTCATTAATATTACTACCTGTGTTACCGTACCTGTCCTTCTAATTGGCTCACCTGTAGATTATCCCCAAGGTTCTTTCACTTATAATATTAACCATCCTTAACCTTAACATAACCTATACCTAACTTACCCCCTCCCCCCCCAGGTAAGGTTAAAGTGTTTAATAGTCAAGTGAAATAAACTGGGAGGGGGGGAAGGGGAGAGGGAAGAGGAGGGAAAGAAGAGGGAGCGGATAGGATGAGGGAAAAGGGGAAGGGGAAAAGAAGGAAGAGGGAGAGGGAGGGAAGGGGGAAGAGGAGGGGGAAGGGATAATATCAAAGTTAATGATTAATATATATTTTCCTCGTGGTGGTAGTGTGAACATCGTGGGTCATTAAAATCCCCTAATGATTCACCGGTAGTTGGGGGGGCACATAACAGCTGATACGAGAAAGTGTAAATTTACGACAATCTCAGGTGTAATTCTGACGCCATTTGACCTCCTAGTTTGTGATGTAGCTTTACCTGACCCAGTTAAGAGGCGTTTTGTAACATAAACAAATCTAAAACCGGATTCATTGAAGTTAGTAAATTTTTTTTTTATACAGAGATGTCAGAATGAGACCTGACACACACACACACACACACACACACACACACACACACACACACTTCCTAAAATGCTTCTCGTTATTAAAATAATAATAAAAAATAATAGACTAACAAAAACAAATAAATTCTGAGGTGAGGACGCGGTCATTGACCCATACCACAAACTATGACGTACTCAATTCCAAGGTTAGGTTAGGTCACTCCCCAGAGGTCGACAGGTGTATGGCAGACACATACACACGTGTCAGTGACTTATTCTCGTTACGAAATAATAATAATAATAATAATAATAATAATAATAATAATAATAATATTCTGATCATACCTCAAGTGTCACCTTCCTATTACCATACCTCAAGTGTCACCTTCCTATTACCACACCTCAAGTGTCACCTTCCCATCACCATACCTCAAGTGTCACCTTCCTATTACCACACCTCAAGTGTCACCTTCTTATTACCATACCTCAAGTGTCACCTTCCTATTACCATACCTCAAGTGTCACCTTCCTATTACCATACCTCAAGTGTCACCTTCCCATCACCATACCTCAAGTGTCACCTTCCTATTACCATACCTCAAGTGTCACCTTCCTATTACCATACCTCAAGTGTCACCTTCCCATCACCATACCTCAAGTGTCACCTTCCCATCACCATACCTCAAGTGTCACCTTCCCATCACCATACCTCAAGTGTCACCTTCCCATCACCATACCTCTATCTCTTGAAGCTGGTCCTCGATGATAGCGTGCTGGTGCTTGATGTTAGCCTCCAACTCCCGGTTCCTCTCGAGCAGGGTCTTGCCTAGCTCTGCCGCCAGCTGTAGGTCTGGGAGGAGAGAAAGAGAAAACACCATTATTTAATAAACCAACCAATAAACCAACCAATAAACCAAAAAATAAACCAACCAATAAACCAACCAATAAACCAAAAAATAAACCAACCAATAAACCAACCAATAAACCAAAAAATAAACCAACCAATAAACCAACCAATAAACCAACCAATAAACCAACCAATAAACCAACCAATAAACCAACCAATAAACCATATAGACTGGTTATATAATTATGTATATGTATGCTTATATATCATCATGTGTACTGTATATCCTTGTTTGTTGGATATGTATGATGATATTTATAATTTAGGTATGGTAATGTGTGTATAATTTATGTATGGTGTGATGTATAAACTATGCATTATGTTACTATGTATTATTTAATCCTAACTTAAATATATATACTGAACACAGGACAGAACCAACGCACATAATCATTAGGTTAAAATTAATTGTGTATATTTTAATTTCGTGCCTCTAACTGGTTCGCTTAGTTAAAGGTCAGGTTATGATGACATTATTCGGATGCTCATTTTTACGCTTTGGGTTACGTTAATCAGTTAATCTTACGCCTTCACTTACGATAAATATTAGTCGTGCGAATTTCTACTCATAATTTAAATTAAGTTCGTAATCCCATTAAATGGTTTTTGTTGCAGTTCTAAAATTCCCAACTCTTTCGCTCTTCAATTTTTAATCATTCCGCTCTTAAGTTTAATTTACGCGAACAGGCAATCAGATTAAAGAAAAAAAAAAAGATGGACTCGTGTCTTTGTGTTGAAACATGCAAGTTGGTGGCGCACAACAATGGCAGTACAGTATTTACAAAGAGATCGAGTTTATTTACAGTGCGGTTGTGGTCTGATACAATGAAAAAATATTTCCCAGCCGACCTGACAACATTTACTAACAGAAAATAGAATAACATTAAAATTAAAGGGGTTTAACACATGCACGCCCAGCCATCGACGTAATTTTCCTTTCAACATAAACTAAAGCTAATTAAAAGTTAACTCAGGTAACGGGAAACCCAGGTGAGATAATTAACCTTTATCAACTAAGGAATCTTTTACCACGTTGTCGTAAAAAGTGAATTAATCTTATTTCCTACGATTTTCATTTTATTACATTCTTTATTATCATTATTACTTATTCAAACTAACACCGCCGATTATTAACGCATTTTCGTCTAGTTCTTCTTCTTTATCAATGTTTTTTCTTATTTTTTCTTTCTTCTTATTTTCATTATTAAATTATCATCACATTATTGGTATTATCATATATATTTTTTTATTCTACGACTAATATCAGCAATTATTATTATTATTATTATTATTATTATAATTATTATTATTATTATTATTATTATTATTATTATTATTTACGAATTAGTTTCTTAGATAAATTCCTTCGTCTGTGATATTTTGGTTTTACAGCAACATCTTATGAGTGAAGAAATACGATGCTGTGATGTGCCAAGGTGTGTAGAGTACAGCGGAAAGAGTACAGCAGACAGGGTACAGCAGACAGGGTACAGCAGAACAGCAGGAGTCAAGTGTCACAAAGTCTACACAGGTATATGAGGTGACCCGCTAAACAAGAACTAGGAACAGAGTGTATTCATTCAACCTGCAACACACAACACCAACTCTCTCTAGGTGTAGACAGCTTTCACATAGCTTCTCAATAGGTTTTTAGCTGACCTAAGACATTGACACAGCTATGGACATGAGCTATTAGCTGACCTTCAACAACACGAAGTCCGCTATTGATCAAACTCTTAGCTGACCTTCAAAAACAGGGAATCAGCTATTGATCAAACTCTTAGCTGACCTTCAACAACACTGATTCAGCTATTGACTAACGTTTTAGCTGAACCTTTATCAATAACTTTTTAGAAAACTCCTGACCCACAACACTTACAGGCAACTCCTGATCCACAACACGTACAGGCAACTCCTGATCCACAACACGTACAGGCAACTCCTGATCCACAACACGTACAGGCAACTCCTGATCCACAACACGTACAGGCAACTCCTGATCCACACCACGTACAGGCAACTTCTGATCCACAACACGTACAGGCAACTTCTGGATCCACAACACGTACAGGCAACTCCTGATCCACAACACGTACAGGCAACTCCTGATCCACAACACGTACAGGCAACTCCTGATCCACAACACGTACAGGCAACTCCTGATCCACAACACGTACAGGCAACTCCTGATCCACAACACGTACAGGCAACTCCTGATCCACAACACGTACAGGCAACTCCTGATCCACAACACGTACAGGCAACTCCTGATCCACAACACGTATCGTCAATTTTCCGTCAATACCAACCCAGGAATCGTCAGCTCCCTCCCGACCAAGGTCTTACACGGAGAGAGAACGGAACTCATTTTCTATATAAGTTTTACCTGTCAATGTTCATCTATATGCTAGAGATAGAGATAGAGAAATTGATTCGACAGATAGAGATAATAGACAGATAGACGGATATATTTGACAGATAGATGGATATATTTGTTAGATAGATGGATTGATTAGACAGACAGACGGGTATATTTAAAAGATACTTGGATAAATTTGACAGTTAGAAAATAGATAAGATATATATTAAAAAGACAGCAAGATAGATAGAGGGATTGATTACAAGTAGAAATATAGATAGAAAGGTAGAATTGACAGATAGAAATAGAGATAGACAAAGTGCTTGGAATTTCGTGTTAAAATCATAAGTAGGAAAGTCTATCAAATCCCGCGAACCGTAAACGTATTTAAAATTATTAAAAGCAATATAACTGAAGATTAAATTATACATCATAAAAAAATATAACAAAAGAAGATCGGGAACGTCGGTTTTAGACATTTATGATTTTTTTTTTTTTGGCGGGGAATCATTTTAAGATTAATTTACTCAATTTATTTTAAAATGATGATTAAACACGTTCATGCAACCCGTTATGTGAGCTTAGTTAGGTTAAGTTGGGTTAGGTTTGGTTTATGTTATTCTATGTTAGGTTTGGTTTATGTTATTCTATGTTAGGTTAAGTTAGTTTTAATGTAGTTAAACTTCAGGGGAAATAATCTGGAGGGGTTAATCTTCACTTGATCCAAATTTATTTCCTTTTCTTTACCGCAATATTTTTTTTTTCAAATACTTAACGATATATTCCACCTCTTCAGACCACAGACGAGTGAAGGTGACATCTAGTCTCGTCCTCTCTGAGTCACTAACGCTATTAATGTCTCAAGTGTGAAAAAATGCTCAGGTAATTTATTTGAGCGCCGAGTCACCAAGCTGTTAGTAAAGAGATATGTAAGTGTTTAGTGGAGATACAAACAAAGACATGAACTACAGCGGTTACCGAGAATCAATGACATGACAAAGAGGTGGTTGAATATACCAATCCGACAATAAAACTGCGAGTGATCGGCCACAATAGCACTTCCGCCTGTCATCGAGGCTCTAAAATGGGGAAACAATACGATGGCGACGAGAAAAACTACTAAGGAGACCATTTTCTCATTCCAGGATCCCAACAGAGTATTAAATGAGGTACTCAAGCGGCACGGTCAGATATATGAGAGTTACCCCTAATATTTTCCTTACGGGCCCAGTTTTCTCTCTCTCCCTCCTACTTCCGTTTACAATTATGAGCGTGGCCTCGCCTGCGGACACTGGCCACGAACTAAGGGTCGTGTAAGACTGGAGGACATGAAAAAGCTCTCATTATTTTACAATCGTGAACAGCGACGGGGGAAAACTTTCTCGTTGTGTGTGTATGTGAGGAACGAGGAAGAGGTCGTGATGAAGGCTTCTAAAGTGAAACGAAGACCAGTATAAATAATGACACGTCAACGAAACAGTACAATAATAATAATAATAATAATAATAATAATAACAATAATAATAATAATAACAATAATAACAATAATAATAACGTCCTACATGGCCTCAAAATTATTATGAATTAAAATACAAACAAAATGCATTCTCTTAGCGTCATATAAGCGACGAAACTACCACAAGACCTAGAATACGGAATGTCATCCTTAGTGCTGACGAGGCAGTAAGTAAACATTATTAGAAGAATATTATGGTATTTTGAGATACATTTTAGGGGAAGTGACAGTAAATGAAGGACCCTAAATGGAAATAAGGATTGAATAATGTACATACACAACTCAGGGATATAAACTGGTAAGGCCCCTCATGGATGATACAAGTATATATTTTTAAAACATTCAATCTTTAAGCCTCAACGTGTAGACTCAAAATACCAATAGAGTCTTAACACCAATTATTTAATCCTGAAGGAGTGAGCGGATGGTCGTGACAGTTTTAGGGGAGGAGGGGGAGGGGTTCAGCGTAGAAAGTGTGACGGACGGACTGACGAACGGACGCCAGCACTCCTACATACTCTCAAGCGGGAAGCAATAAACAGGTGTACAAATTAACCTTAGTAACTTCTGTGGATGAAAACGGGAACAATACCTGAATAATTATACGAGTAAAAAAAAAAAAGGAAATCTAGGTCAGACACGATACAGTGTAAAAAAACTTAAACGAGTTTTATACCCGACTAAAACGCTTGACACTTAAGAATACAAGGCACTAAACCAGCCATATGTACCCTAACCTAACCTATCCTATTGTATTGCAACCAAAACTCCTCTAGAATCATTGTTAGGTTAGGTTAGATTGGTTCTTCCAGTCGGCATTACACGTAATTCATATTTCCTCTTCTAACACACACACTAACACGCTAATGAAAATATCGTAAACAAAAATATATAAAAACAAGAAATTAAACTATTGAGGGCAACTAAACCTCTCTAACCCACTAAAATTAAACCATTAACCTTAAACCAAGCTAATAATACAACCATTAACTATTCACAAACATTCTTAAGTTCTTTAGGTGTAGCACTAATGAGGCGTGACATGATTAGCGGGCGTGACCTAAACAG